CTCTGTTAAAAACTCATCAAGGTATGAATCAATTCTTCTTTCTTGTACCCTCAAATTGATGAGCATGCGTATTTTGAAATCATATGTTTTGATGATATATCCTACTAATTATCAACTAAGCGTTTGAGCTGCAGTTCAATTGAGAGAAGCTAAATGATTTTTACTATTTGATACTAATAATCAACTAAGCTTTTGAGCACTGTTCTATTGGATTTGGCATTAAATCAACATGCCTAAACTAAAAAGGATTAGGATATCTTGGACGCAAGATATTTGGATTTGTGTTTCCTAGTTGGTTTGGGATTTGGTTTTAGTATAGGATTTGGTTTCATATATTCTAGGGACTTTGTGTAAACCTATGACATCCATTAGTATAAATAGATGGATGTGGGATAGAGTTTTGTGTGTGAGAGTTTTTGAGAGGCATAAATTTGTTTACTTGAGAACACTTTGTGCTTGTGAGTTCTCTTGTATTTGTTGGTAATCAATAAAGCTTCCGTTGCTAGAGAGGTATTCCTAAATTGGAGGAACTCTGAAATCATTGTGTTTTGTTTATTGCTTGATTGGTTTTTGGTTTAATTTACAACAAGTGGTATCAAGAGATTAGGTTCTTACGTGGGTTGTGACTATCAAGCAATGACGAAGACTGGTGATTCTACCAGTGGTGAAGACGTTGAAGAAAAGTCTGGCACTAGTGGAACCAAGATGCTAGGTTTGAAATTGAGAAATTTGATGGAATGAACAACTTTGCTATGTGGCAGTGTGAGGTTCGAGATGTCCTGATGCAACAAGGTTTGGTTGTTGTGTTAGGAGGCATGTCGTTTGCAATGAAAAAAGAAGAATGGGAAAGATTGAATGCTTATGCATGTTCTACAATTCGGCTATGCTTAGGAAAGCAACAGAAGTATGGTGTGATGAATATAACTTCTGCAAAGGAATTGTGGGCTGCATTGGAGACAAAATATATGAAGAAAAGTGTAGAGAATCAACTACATCTCAAGAGCAAGTTATACGGGTTCCAGTACAAAGAAGGCACGAAGATGATTGGCCATCTAGAAGAGTTTAATAAGCTTCTAGCTGAATTGGCAAATCTTGAAGAGATAATCAAAGATGAAGACAAGGCCTTGATCCTGATGAACTCATTGTCTGAATCCTATGAGCCTTTCGTAAGTACTTGGATTTATGGCAGGGAAACAATTAAGTATGATGAAATTTCTAGTGCTCTTATGAATCATGAGGTAAGACACCTTGACAGGCAAGAAAGGAATAACTCTAAAGCTTTGATGGTGAGAGGGAGATCAAAAGAAAAGAAAGGTTTGTACAGGAAAAATAGTAGGTCTCGTACTAAAGGAGTCTCAAAGAATAGGAAGTTCTTGGACAAAGATGAGTGTGCTTTTTGTCATGAAAAAGGACATTGGAAGAAGGATTGCCCTAAAATCAAAGAAAATACTAAAAAGAAGAATGACGACTCCGAAGCAAATATGGTTGAAGTCAGGGATGAGAAATTTGTCTATGCCTTAACTGCATTGAGCACTGTGGATTATATGAAAGAATGGGTGCTTGCAATAGGTTATAACATCACATGAATTCTCAAAGGCATTGGTTTTCAAGCTTCAAAGTTATGAATGAAACTGTGTATATGAGAGATGATAACCCATGTACAACTCAAGGAATTGGAAGCATCAAGATCAAGCATGATGATGTGTGATTTGAGAATTGCGTGGTGTAAGGTACATCCCAAATCTGAAGAAAAAGTTGATCTCACTAGGCATTCTCGAGTCACAAGGCTACAAGTTTTACTCTGATAACAACGTGCTCAAAGTTGCTAAAGGAGAACTTGTCATAATGAAAGGGCCTCCGAATGGCTTACTTTATATGCTACAAGGAAAGACTTTGGAAACTGGAGTGGTTATGGTAGCTGATGAAGTGAAAAGTGATAAAAATGACTTGTCTGCATTATGACACATGAGGTTGGGACATGTAGGAGAAAAAGCATTGCAAGGATTGATCAAGCAAAGGTGTTTAAAAAGAGCAAAAATTGGAAAGATAGAGTTCTGTGAGCACTGTGTTCTTGGCAAACAAACAAAGGTGAAATTTGGCTTAGCTGTTCATCAAACAAAAGGGATTTTGGACTATGTTCGCTCTGATGTTTGGGGGCCTGCAATGAATGCTTCTTTAGGTGGAAAAAGATGGTTTGTATCTTTTATCGATGACTACTCTTGCAAATCATGGATATATATGATGAAACGAAAGGACAAGGTTCTTGACATCTTCCTAGAATAGAAGAACATGGTGAAGAACAAGATTGGAAAGAAGATTAAGATACTGAGAAGTAACAATGGAGGGGAATATACCTTTGATCCTTTCTTCAAAGTGTGTAAAAAAGAAGGGATTACTTGACATTTAAGTGTTAGACATACTCCACAGCAAAATGGGATAGCAAAGAGACTAAATAAGACCTTGCTCGAGAAAGTTTGTTGCATGCTATCTCAAGCTAAGCTGCCAAAGAGATTTTGGGCATAAGCTTTAAGCTATGCATGTTATGTGTTTAATTGACTACCATCAACAACATTGGAGGGTAGAACACCCATTGAAGTGTGGTTTAGAGAACCAACTTAGGACTATAATAAGCTATGAGTGTTTGGATGCAATGTCTACTTTGGAAAAAAAAACTGGATCTATGAGCTAAGAAATATGTCTTTATGGGATTCAATAGTGGTGTGAAAGGCTTCAGACTTTGGTGTCCTGAGTTGAACAAGATTATAGTAAGTAGAGATGTGACATTCGATGAAAGTCACATGAAATTGAAGGAAGATGTTCAGATGGTGAAGATTGGAGAACAAGTAGTTGTGAATTCACAGCTAAGTAAGAAAGTTGTGGAAGAAGAAAGACAAGGTGATCAACTTGAACATGAAGAGAGTGATCGCGAAGAAGAAACACCATCAAAAGAATTAAAGATACAAGATGATTGCATAGCCAAAAGGAAGGGAAAAAGAGACATATCCCTACCTGCGACATATAATGATTGCATGGCCTACATGGTATATGCATTGTCAATAATTAAGGCTAAAATTCCTTCTATTTTTGAAAAAATGTGATGAAGCAATTGATAAGTTCTCAGTTGGATATGTGAACTTAAACTTTGCTGGAGACTTAGAGATGAGAAGATCAACAACTGGGTATGTGTTTACTATGACAAAAGGTCCTATATGTTGGAGATCAACATTACAACCAACGGTGGCATTATCAACCGCAGAAGCAGAATACATGGTGATCGCTGAAGCTATCGAAAAAGCAAAGTGGACTCTGGGGTTGTTATGAGATTTAGATGTAGAACAACACAAGTTGGATGTATATTGTGACAGCCAAAGGGCCATTTATTTGGCCAAATATCAGGTACATCATGCTAGGACTAAGCACATTGATGTACGATATCATTTTGTGAGAGAAGTGGTAGTTGAAGGTGAGATTTGTCTAAAAAAAGATGCTACTGAAGATAATCTAGTTGATATGTTGACAAAGGTGGTTAATACAACTAAGTTCAAGCACTGCTTGGATTTGGTGCAGGTGAAGCAAGTTTGGTTTTGCGATATGGTGGAGCAACGGAAGTTGTTTGATGCCTCGTTAAGGATTTCATGCCAAGGTGGAGATTGTTGGATTTGGCATTAAATCAACATGCCTAAACTAAAAAGGATTAGGATATCTTGGACGCGAGATATTTGGATTTGTGTTTCCTAGTTGGTTTGGGATTTGGTTTTAGTATAGGGTTTGGTTACCTATATTCTCGGAACTTTGTGTAAACCTATGTCATCTATTAGTATAAATAGATGAATGTGGGATAGAGTTTTGTGTGTGAGAGTTTTTGAGAGGCATAAGTTTGTATACTTGAGAACACTTTGTGTTTGTGAGTTCTCTTGTATTTCTTGGTAATCAATAAAGCTTCCGTTGCTAAAGAGGTACTCCTATATTGGAGGAACTCTGAAATCGTTGTATTTTGTTTATTGCTTGATTGGTTTTTGATTTAGTTTACAACATGTTCTTCATATCAGAGCATCATAATCATTCTCTGTATTTGTACGTTTAGAATAACGTTTATTTCCAATGTCAATTCACTGATTTTATGATCACAGAACGATTTACATACACAATGGATCTGGTGACTGAGGTTGGATGAAGATTGAGTTGGAATGGTGGTTGCCTTCATCAAGCAGTCTATAGAGGAGAGATGAAGCTGCAGAGGTACTCACTGCCACTTAGGTTAGCCACTCAGATTAGAATTGAATGATAATTGAACTTAATGTAAACTTGTACTGAGGTTCAACTGCTACAGTGTGGTGGTTACAATGTTGTTTATACTCATTGTTTTACATTGAATTGTGTACTTGTTAAACTAGGAAAAAAGCAGGGTAGATTTAGTCCCCCAAACATAAATTGATTTCATACTTTTTCTTCTCTCTTTACTAGTATACCCCAAAAAGCAGCCGGTATAGCAGATCCAAGAGAAACATATTCTTCAGTTTGGAGTTCGAAATAGGGATATCTTTCATGTTTAATTTGTTCATCCTTTTTCTTCGTTTTAGAGTTATTTTTTAACGTCATAATGACCTTATTGCAGCAGGAACCAAAAATTAACGACCTTACGGGAACACACTTTAGGATAAAAGAATTCAATAGAAAAGTGATTTCCGTACATTTTTTTTTCTCATCCTACGTACCTGCATTTGTTTTTTACTTTTGAATTGAAGAAATCAAGAAAATCAAACAATAGAAATAAGCAAGGTGTGCAGAAGGACAGAAGTGTCCACAGAAATTCTTTCCAAATAAATATCACGTCTGATTTCACTTGCATTGTAAGTTTGGGCCGTCTTTGACGACATGGCAAATGTGATTGTGCAGTCCAACAATACTTCTACCAACATCTATTCTTCATTTCACTATCCGATTCTATTAAATTTTGTGATTGGATTCAATTTGATGAAGGAAGGAATTCTTGCTAAATGTACTACAGAAGTTAATCATCTGTTTCTATATTCAATCAAACAAAATTAAAAATAAGAAAAACAAAAACAAAGTAGAGCAATACCATGAAAATTCTGCAGCAAAATGCAAGAAGTCCCATAGAAGATAAAAAATGAAACAATAAAATTCAAGAACTAATACTGATCTCGCAGGTCTGATCACTTGCATTGCAAACTTTTGAGTGTCTTCGATGACAGAGCAAATGCAATGGTGCAGTTCATGGTGGAAGCCTTCTTCTTTTTCATTATAAACATCAATTCAACCTTTCCAGTCAACCTAGCCGCACCGTTGAGAGTCAACACCCCGCTGCTCAGTTCATTCGCAATATTAGAACTGCTCAAAGCACTTGAACTCAAGCTCACCTCGACGTCAATTTTTTTGGTGGAAAGCATTCCTGCCTTGCTCTTTGGAATAGAAACTTGCCCGACAGTTGCGCCTTGGTACAAAAACGTGACAGTGCCTTCATCAAACTTGTATGGACCAAAATTTGTGTTCTTGACTCTGATTTGGGTTGTGAATTTAGTGTCAAATGAAGGTGTTGTTGGGGTGGAGTTGAGCTCTTGGACGTTGATGTTGCCTAGCCTGAGCTTGGGGGTCTTCACTTTCATCACAGTAAGACTCATTGCCGTTATAACTATAATCTGAAACACAATGAAAATACCAATGTATATGGCCAATTTGATTCTTTTCTGGCGTTTCAGCTCGTCAGCGGACTGCAACGATTCCGCATCATTTTGTTTCCAAGCCATGTTAATCTCCTTTTCTTTTCTGATAAAAGAGCTGAAAAAAATAAAAGTTGCCTGCTTTGTTGGCTTCTTTTTGTGGATGAAAGATTGGAAGCGAGGGAGTTGTTTGTGGAAATGATGAAAGAGTAATGTGCTTTATATAGTGTTTGGAGTTTGGCCTATTTTCAATAAGTTGTGTTGTGGAATGAATTTCCTGGAAAATGTGAGTTCATCAGGGAACAATTTTATCGCACACACCAAACCAAACGCGTCCAAGTGTGGCAATTGTTGACTTATAGATAATCGATGAATTTGGTGGAGTGCGGACCTTTTAGGTTTTTTCTTTGGTCAGCCAAGAGAGAAAATTTTAATATTAAATATCCGTAGAAGCTTCTGTTAATAAATCAATATGATTATTAGAGGACACTTAATGACAGGTGAGAACGTGATGTAGGATCTATTAGAGGACACTTATCACCTATGGAACGGTAGATCAATAGAAATTTATTGTTATTTAACTTGGATTAGTTCTAATTAGCCCCATACAACAAGCAGGATTCTTTAAGAAAACAACTGAATGCTAAAGAAGCTTGGACCAATCAAAGAAGTCACAGCCACAATTAGCTTCTGGTATTAACTCTCAAATCACTTGTGGCTCGTTTATGTAACTGTAATTAAAATAGGAAGAAGTAAATTGAGGAGAAATTGAATTGAGGAGGAGTTGAAATGACGAGGAATTGGAATCAAATTCTTGTTGAAGCTGTTTAATGTTATGGAATCAGAGTAGGAATAAAATTGATTTTATATGAGGTGTTTACTAATTCACTTGAATCGGAGTATAAATCAATATGATTATTAAATTACCCTTATTTTTTTATTTAATCTTTATATTTATTTTTCATAACATTTTAAATAATTATTTTTATTTGTTTGATTAAAGTGGAGTTAAAAAAACCCTAGCCAAATCATCTTCTCCGCAGACCAAACAAGTTAAAAATTTATAACCCACTCATCCCCCAGTACACCCAGGAAAGCCACTAAACAAGATTATAATCCACCAAACAAGATTATAACTCACATCAGCCTCTGCATTTTTAAAATCTTCAAATCCTCTATTTCTCATCGTGAAGGTCACTCCAATTTTTGTCTTCGGTTACACGCTCTAAAATATTCAAAATCCTATTTAGGGTACTTTCTTCACCTAAGTTTTTCTCACAGCTTCCTATTATTTTCCCGGCATCCAAACAGGGAATAGACTTTTTTCTCTGGAATGAGCGAGCAAGCGAGAAGCATATCCACCGCCTGATGAGCCAGCAAGCGAGAGGGCAGAATAGGAATAAAAAATGCATTCCTGATTCCCTTACTCTCACAAAATTCAAATACCTCATCTATTCAGAGAATCCCACTCCTCCAATTTCAGGAATTGCATTCCTTATTTTGGGTGGGGTCCACCACATTGTTGATTCCCCAGTATTTATTAAACGCAGGAGTAATCCGTAATCGGAATTCAATTATGTTATTTGATTACCATTACCCTTAAGTAAACGCACTCTTAGTACATTGTCTTGACTTATAAAATTATCAGAGAGACGGCTAAATGACACTTCCATAACACTGGTATTGTCCCAAATTTGTTAATTACCACTTGCACAGTTCGATAGTGGTGGAGTTTTCACAAAAGACTTCGGTATTTAAACTTTTTTTTTCTCCCTCATTATGCCCATGTGGGATATTTCAACATACATGTACAACTCACGGATGTCAATATAACGTGCAAGACTAATAATACAATGTTTCTTGAAAAAAGGTTAAGATACGTGTGTTCTATGAAATTTTATAGGCCCAAGCATGGTCTACCACCAATATCAACGATATTGTCCCAACTTAGCCACCTATTACTAGGTGTTGGGTTTTATCACAAAAAGCCTTAGTAATATTAGGGGTGGAAACTCTCATATATTAATTGTATATTCTTTTATCATATAACCAATGTGGAATCCTATTCTCCAATATGCTCTCTCACGAGTGACCCCACATAGGGTCATAAGGGAAACCAATTCCCACATCGGGAAATAGTCAAGTCATTACACTGGGGCTAACACAACTTTTCTAGAGCTCGATCATCATTCAAGTATTCGGGCCAACGCAACTTTCGAGGGCCCAGTCATTTAGTACCTTAAGTTGGTGCTAGGGCAAGTTTTCGAAAACCCAACTTAAGGAGGTACATTCGAGCCCAGTAAATCGGACCCAAAATGTGTTGAAGGAATAGTTTGCTCTAATACCATGTGAAACTTTATAGGCCCAAACATGGTCTACCACTAATATCACTGATATTGTCTCAACTTAACCACCGATTATTAGGTGTTGAGTTTTATTGCATAAGGCTTCGATGATAAACCAGTATATCATTGAACCATAAATTTTTTAAGAGGCTATGCAAGATATAGGTTGGCAAAAATCTATGAAGGAAGAAACGTTAGTAATTGAGAAGAATTCCAAATGGGAATTGGTGGACAGGCCTATTGACAAAGATGTCATAGGTGTCAAGTCGATTAACAAGACAAAGTTTAATTTGGATGGGTCATTCCAAAAGAAGAGGGCAAGGCTAGTTGAAAAGAGCTACTCACAAAAACCTGGAGTAGATTTTAATGAAACTTTCACACCATTGGCAAGACTTCAAAACTATTCGGATCCTAAAGGTATTGGAGCTACTAGGCATATTAAACTCAAGAATTACTTCTCAAGTTGTTGATATATTCACCAAAGCATTGTCAAATACCGAGTTTCAATACTTGAAAACACTCGGGAAAGTTCAACAACTTCACATTCAGGAGAAAAACTTGTGTGGGGCTTGGCATGCCACTGGACTTTGCTAAGTGGCACTACAATCCCCTCAAAAATCATCACGTGACAAGTCTTAAATATAATTTTTTTTCTCATTCTTTTATATTTAAAATTCTCATAATTATTTTTTTCACTAATGAATATGCATCAATTTAATGGCTTATATTTTGTTCGTCCCCCCCCCCCCGGCCCCCTTCTTTTCCCAAATATTCCCTCCAGTTTATATTGTAGGGCATGCTTGCCTTCTTTAACTTCCCAAACAATCTCATTGTGTAATACTATTTGATTTATCTCTTCAAATATGCTCTTTACGAAGACTGAACCCTTTCCTCATAGCATAAGCATTGCGTACTTGAAAGGCTTCAATGTCAAAATTCACCACCATTCTAATTTTTACATCTTAAAACTCCATTGTCTCAGCAGCAACCTACCAATTAAAAAAAAAGGGACTACCAAATTAATAAAATACTCATAGTAAAGAACGGAAAAAACTATTGTACAAATATGTGGGTAATTCGTATCAACATATTAACCATAACATTGATTAACATTTGAGCCCAAATATTAGATTAACATGTTAACGAAAACAAATAAAAAATTAGGCTAACCCTAATACATCTATATATATGGGTTATTCATGTCAAGTTCACATGATCAAATTAAGTATTGTATAAATAAGGAAAAAACTTAAAGATTATTGATTGATTTCCATGACAAAAGTTGGAGAAAGTGATTTTGTTTAGGGTACATAATTTTTTCTGAAGAACAGTGAGAGAAAAAAGTCGCAGAGACAAAGAAGTGGGAGAGAGAAGAAAGTGAAAGAGTTCCGCAACATAAATTGTAGGGAATATTTGGGATGGATAATCGTATCTTGCCATCAATTGTCCCTTTTTTTTTAAAAAAAAAAAGAAAGAAAACAAAAAAAATATCCATTAGATTGATGTATATTAATTAGTGAGAAATATAATTATGAGAATCCTAAATATAAAAGAATGGGAAAAAAAATTACGTTTAAGACTTGTTACGGGGCAATTTTTTAGTGGCTTGTAGTGCCACTTAGCAAAGTCCAGTGGTAAGTCAAACCCCACATAAGTTTTTCTTTTCAGGGAGAGTGTTAAATATCAGCTAACGTTCAGTTATAATTATAACAACAACAAATGTTCTTTTGTGTAATATTCCTTATGTGACTATTGTGACTTTGTGAAGGTGTTTCCTTCTTTTCAAACGGGTTAGGCCGAGATAACGATTTTTTGTTCATTTTCTATTTCGGCGCGAGGTGTGCCACCACCAAGCTACATATTTGGCTTGGATTGAATGTCTGTGTTTGAAGTCACGAATCTGACTTCTAACCAAACGACTGAACGGTCAAGCAAGAAACCTCTTCTTAACATAGGTCCCTCACTCCTTTATGATCAAGGGTGGTTAGAGCAGATTTGTATATTTTGTGATTTTGGGTTAACAGATGCAAAGGAATGTAAAGGTGCAAGAAATTAAAGTGTAAGAATGTAAAGTGAGATAATATAAGAGAATAATAACGTAAAAAACAAAAAGGTGAAAGTAGAAAGTAAATAGGCTTGAAGAAAAGTGCGATAAAAATAAACGAACTTGAATTAAAATTAAATAGAAATAACAAGATAAAATGAAGTTCTTAGACCATCTAAGTGGAATGTCATGTAATCAAATTAAAGGTAGAAGCAAACTCCAACCGATAAGTCAATCCTATATGGATTGACATATGAGAAAAGGGGGTGTCAAATAATTTTTAATTATTTTATCATGTGAGTCCTATTAATGTACCAATTATAGATCTTGAAAATTTATTTTAATTGATTACTTTTTAAAATGGGTCCTACAAATATCATTTATAACCAAAAAAAAAAAAAAAAAAAACCATATCAGTTGGAAAAACAAAAAATTTGACATTTTCACGTCACCCAGTAAATTAACATTTGACATTTATCTTTTAACATTTCTATTGAAGATATAAATCTTGAAACTATAAACTTACATGAACTAAGAATTTGACAAGTAAACGACCTGCGGCCGTAAATTAAAACCTAGACCAAGTAAAGGATCAGAAGAATATGAAATTTAGTGTGTTGATCGAGGGATCCAACTTCATGTCTTAAAGCTTCGTATTTATAGAACAACCATTCGTCCTAAATCGGCCATTTGTTTGGCCTGTAAGTCTTGCCTTATTGAAAAGCCCTTCCTTCCGCAGCCACCTTAATCTTAGGATATGATGGCCACAAAATCAACTCACTTTCGAATATTCATGCCTTTTGGGTTGATTGATTTTGC